CGCCCGCCAAGCGCGACCAGGTCCCAACGGAATCGATGCGAGCAGGGGAGGAGGCTTCAAAATGCAATGGGAAAACTCAGTAAAAACTGTTCAGAGATTTAAGAAAATGGCCAAACATCTGGCTGATTTTCAGGCGTTGCAAACACAGCCGCTTTCCAGCAGAAGAGACCATCGGTCTGTCCGCTTTTCCCCCAGCCTTCCCCACCCTGTGGCTCTTCCTGCTGCTCGCTGCCTGCTTACGTTCACCCAGCCTTGACTCTTCTCACCCAGCCATCCCCCACCTGCCCTCCAGCAACATTCCCCCCACCCCCCATCCCCCCTCCTCAAATTCTCCCACTGTGCCAAGATCTGCCCCTCGCACTCTGCAAACTGTTGCTCCCTAAAGCTGGATCTGGAGCACCCACGAGAAGTCTCACTTCTTAAGCCGTCCTAGATTTCGGCTCGCATTCAAAACCTCCGTTAGTAACAGAGAAAGCACCACTTCGGGACAGGCTGGATACCAAGCGGAACAATTTTAGGATGTGAAGTCACACAAAATATTCAGGTTCTCACAAAACCCGAGTTTACACCTCCACACCTCGCAATGGATTCCTCCCTGACAGATTTTTCTTCAAGCGCTCTAAGTGCTAGGATATCTGTTGCAAAACGTGACCAGCTTTGTGTATGGGTGATGCTATTTATACAGACAATGCTCCAAGTAAAAAATATATATACATATATAAAAAAAAAATTAAAAACTAATTCACTATCATGGTGAGCAGCTCCTGATTCTGTTCTTCAACTCTCGGGTGGAAAATTCCCCATTGCTGAAACTAAAGAGATTGTCAGAAAACTTGGCAAACTACCAGAAAGCTGTGCTAACGCTCCTTTGTAATTACTGTTTTGATCAAATACAAGCAAGACCCCCTACTGTGGGGAAGGTCAGCCACAGGTGACTTCAACACAGCTGTACCCAAGTAAGATTCAAGGCCCGCTGGTCACCGAATTTCGGGCAGAATGGTCAATTAGCAATCCTCCCGTTAACGAATCGATGATGACAGCAGGCTCCGAGCTGAGGGAGCCAAGCTCACGTGCCACACCGCTGGGCAATGCCCACGCAGGCGGCAGCCCACTGGCTTCGAACGCAGCCGAGAGGAACGGAATGACTCGCTCCGCGTCCACCGGAGAGAGGACAAGTCGCCACGGACTGAAATTGCAGCGAGGGAGATTGAGGCTGGGCATTAGACAAAGCCTTCCAACAGGAAGGATAATTAAGCGCAGGAATAGATTGCCCAGGGAGGGACAGGAACTGCTGGTCCTCAAGGTTTTACGAGCGGTGGGAAACATCTGTCACGCTGACCCCACTTTGGGTAGGGGGTGGATTAGGCGGCCGTTCAAAGACCCAGCTCTGTTTTCTAACAACTCCCCAAACCCCCCCGCTGATCTCCTACTTTCAACCGTTCCGATTCCAGGAGCTGACAACAGCACCGACATAAATTTTGTTTAGGATACAGCACGCTGGGAAGGCTGGGATTTAGAGCAACCGAAGGGCAGTTGATTGCAGGCAGGGCCTGGGCAAGCGCTCCTCGCGCCGGGGTGCCGGCACCCACTTCCACCCCAAACAGGGGCTGCCATTTAGGGAGCGGGTTCCCCGTGCGAGCAAGCAGCTAGCCAAAAGGCAGGTGGATGCCCACCAAGCTTGCCCGCGAGCCCAAGCCTTCAGGCCCCGGGTTTAGTCCGGCACCAGGCAGCCCTCCTCCTCCATCTCCTGCCCCGCGGGATTTTGCCGAGACAGACGAACGCGTTACCTTTTTAACATTTTCCTCCTCCTCTTGGCGTTTCTCATAGTGTGAGAAGTCATCAAAGATGGAGGTGGTGTGCTTGTAGGTGGCAATGATTTTCAACACCTGCTTAGCCTTTTCCAGAGGCACCTCCTGAGTGTCCCTGGAGTTGGTCACTGGTTTATTCTCGTTGTTCTCTAGGCGGATGTGCCGCAGCTGGCTGTTGGGAACGTCCTTCACAAAAATCCACCTGACATCAAAACGTCCCTTCCACTTGTCCTGGGACCACACACCCGCACACGTGTTATAGTCCACAGCAGATTTCATTTCTGCTACTCCGCAGAAGTGACCGCTACCGTTGACGCTGAACAGTAAGTAAACGGGGCCCTTCCCGTTCATGGAGCGATAGGCGGCATCCAGTCTCTTGTTGCCGTGCTCTGTGCTGCACCAGATGTTGTATTTAATGGAACGGTGGATATCGTCCTCAGAGTAACTCTTAATGATGAAAACCCGGCCGTGTTTTGGGTTCCAGTCAAAATCCTTGGGGTTGTAGTTGTTGATGGATCTCAACTTCTCCAAGACCGGGTGCGGCTCCGCGGGAGCAGAACCAGAACTGGCCTGAGACTGTCCCACTCCGTTCCCGTCCCCTCCGTTCTGACCGAACCCGTTGCCGCGATTCCGAGGGGCGACCCAGCGGGTGGGCTGAGCC